GGTCTGTGAGCACAGTGCGGTCCTAGTATAGCTTGTAATTATCATTCTCAAGTATACTCTCAGGAACGTATTGATAATATGAAAGATGGTTTGTTTGAAGAAGTCCCCGTTTTATTATTATTATTATTTCTTAATATTGTTTCTAGTCTCTTTCTGTGTCTGTCATTTCTTTCACTTTTTTATGGACATTAAAGGTGTCGTATCTTTGCTGGAGTTGTTAAAATTCTAGGCATTTCATTGAAATCCCGTTTTCTTTAGCTTCTCTGCATTTTTTTTCTAATGATTTTATTGGCTCGTTTGTATTCTATTGGGTCTGTTTTATGTTTTCGTCTTACGTCCATGAGGTCAATGATCTCTTGCCTTATCCATTCGTGTTTTCTGTTGTTTTTCGTAAACCTGATGTCATCTTCTTGTATCTTTGTTATTTTCGTTTTTAGAGCAGTCTATGTTACTTCGACATCTGTCTGTACAAAGTTCTCTAGCGTTTCTATTTCTTTCTCAACCTTGATGCTTATTTCACTTTTCTTTTCAGGTTTCTTCAGTTGTGAGATGTCGATTTTTCTTGGCATTTTTTCCCTTTAAACTTTAACAAACCTTTTTCGTCCAAAATCTATTATAACTGTGTCATATCAGTAGGTTATGATTACGGTCACGGGGCTCTAGGCACAATGTATGGAGACTCGTTGTCGGTTGTCACGACTTGTGAAGATGGTTGTTACAACATGGGTTTTTGGACATTGTTGATTCCTAGAGACTTTGTTAACAAGTATGTTTAAATAAATGTATTAAACACAATGTAATATTATTACTTGGCGCAGTCAGTAGGATTCGAACCTACGCTCCCAAAGGGAATCTGATTTCCAATCAGACTAGACTCAAAAGGGCTCCAGTGCGTTTTAAGGATTATCAAATGTAAGGGGAAAGATGTCATATCAGTAGGTTATGATTACGGTCACGGGGCTCCTGGCACAATGTATGGAGACTCGTTGTCGGTTGTCACGACTTGTGAAGATGTTTGTTACATCATGGGTTTTAGGACATTGTTGATTCCTAGAGACTTTGTTAACAAGTATGTTTAAATAAATGTATTAAACACAATGAAATATTATTACTAACTGGATACTGGAGATACAGCGTGAAAACTTTTTGCATCCCCTTTTCAACATGGCGGCCATAAAACATGGGTGACGAAACACAGCAAAAACATAAAATTGCATCCTCTGAAAAATGCATGTTAAGGCCTAAAAAATTTAAAATTTTAATGGACTATATATACCGAGGTTTCTCAAAACCTAACGTCACCAACTATTTACAATAAACACGTTGAATTGTATAATATTGTCTAAACAAATACACTTATATTATTTAAAAATTACAGTATTAATCATTGCAGTGTCCGAATTTTATCTAAACCTGTAGTAAATATCTTTTAAAGAGATAATAATGAAAAACTATAAATACTGTAAAAGAGATCCATTTTCTTCTAATATTGACATAAAAATAACGAAATTCCCCACAAAACAATGATATATCCAAACTTTTCCCTACATTATATACCATTTTTTCCTTAAATCCTGCTCTAGTAGACTTTGTTTTTTTTTTGTTTATAGTAAACATTTATCAAACGGATTAAAAGAAGAAATTATCTATTTTATTAGCAACAGTTGCTACTTAGGAGCCATATTGAGACTTTGGGGCCAGCAACCAGAATTGGGAGTCTTGCATTGTCATGAAGTAAATCTGTTTACATCTTTTACAACTTAACATCATGAAAATTTATTAGCAAAGATAGAATAGAATAGAAATATGCTTTATTGTCACTGAAAATTATTGAACAATTTTATGGACAAAGCTAAAAAATAAATCAGTCAAATAGTACAAAAAGTATAAAACAAAAACAAATATAGTAAAAAACAGAATAACACAATTTTAAATTAGTAAAATTATTGTATAACCTACATAATTTGTACAGACAAACAAATGAGACAAATTGTAGCCACTGCTTGAGACACCCAAATGTAATTATAAACAATACTAATTTTGTTTCTTTGTTATACATTAAGAAACTCGTCAACTGAATAATATGGTCTTTCTGAGAGATAGATTTTTGTCACCTTACGAAACTTAATGAAGGATGTTGCGGATTTAATTTCTCTTGGAAGGTGATTATAAAGTTTCTTTGCACGATATAGAATAGAATTCTTTACTAGCTGAGTGGACGGGATCGGCAAATAAACGTTACAATCCGAATTTCTAATGGAGTAGCCATGGTCAGGTCTATCGGGAAAAATGTTTAGATGCTTTCGAATCAAACAAACCGTTTCCAAAATAAATAAAGAGGGAAGCGTCAAAATTCCGTGATTTTTGAAGTAGGTCTTGCAATGAGTTGTTTGTTTGAGACCAAATAGATAACGGATTGCTCTTTTTTGCAACTTAAAAATAGTATCAAATTGGGCCGCTGTACTAGAACCCCAAAATGGAAGCCCATATCGAAGATGGGACTCGAACAATGAGAAATATGCCATTTTGGCAGAAGATAAATTTAGTTCCTTCGAAACAGATCTTATTGCAAAGCAAGCTGAGGCTAGTTTCTTCCTTAAGGAGTCAGTATGCAAGGACCATTTGAGATCACTGTCAATGAGAATACCTAGAAATTTCACGGAATTTACGATATTGATTTGGCTCTCATTCAAAAGCAAGGGTTGCATGACTCCTTTATAAGATAATGCTACAGTCTTATCCACGTTAAAGCTAAGTAAGTTGGAGTCTGACCAAGCCTTGATTATAAGTAAATCAGCGGTTATAATTGAATGAAGCGTTGAAATATCAGAGCTGCTCCAAGTAATACTGGTATCATCAGCAAATAGAAAAATTTTCCCTTTAATTTTCAAGTAAGTGATGTCATTAATGAAAAGTAAAAAAAGAATGGGACCTAATACTGAACCTTGCGGTACTCCACACTCAATATCTTTACAACTAGAGTCGGTGTCATTTATTCTAACCAATTGTTTCCTACCTACCAAGTAAGTTTTGAACCAGTTCAAAGACACACCCGAATTCCATAGAAAGTTAATTTTTTTAATAGAATGTCGTGATTTACGCAGTCAAAGGCTTTGGAATAGTCGCAGAAAACGGTGGCGGAGGAGAGGTTACTGTTTAGTGATAGATATACATCATGTAACACAGAAAATATGGCATCACTAGTGCATTTATTAGACAAAAAGCCGAACTGATTTTGCGATAAAATATTATATTTAAGGAGAAAGGGCATAAGTCGAACTTTTATAAGTCTTTCAATAATTTTTGATAGTGCTGGTAACAAGGCAATAGGTCTATAGTTGCAGGCATCAGATTTTTCTCCACCTTTATGAAGAGGAATGACGATGGCAGTCTTTAGGCAGTTAGGGAATGTACCTTTTTCAAGGGAATCATTTACTAGCGAGACCATGACCTCCAAAACATTATGCGGTAGATTTGAGAAAATTTTAATAGATAATCCATCTGTACTACAGGACGATGTGCTTTTTATACTACGAATTGTTGAAATGAGTTCCGTCTTATCAACTGGTCTTAAAAAGAAGGTATCAGCAATGTTTTTTGAATTAGAGAGATAGGAAACTGGATCTTGTTGTGGCGAAATAGTTGAGGTTATATTTTTACTCACATTAACAAAGTAATCATTTAGATTTTCGGGGTTAGGAAAAGAAAAGGTTTGATTCGCTGTACTGGTTTTATTTCGAAAATCGTTTATTATTGACCAAGTTTCTTTTGAAATATTTTTGGAGCTTGTTAAGCGATTATGAAAGTAGGATTTTTTGGCTACTTTGAGTAGTTTTATATAGCATTTTCTGTACTTATTGATATAATCAGAGATGGGGATACTGTCATTAAATTCTTTAATATATAGCAGAGAACGCATATTTTTCGCAGATATGCGAATGCCTTTGGTAATCCAAGTTGTTATGTTTTGGTCTGATGTTTAATAGAGGAAATGCTTTATTAAAAATAGATACAAGTCTATTTAGAAAATCACTAACATTACAGTCAATGTCCCCAGAAGAAAAACTCCAGTCAGAAGTCAAGCATGAATTATAGAATTTACGAAAGTTTTGAGTGGAAAAAATCCTACCTAATCGTCGGATTTTTGAGTGAGGTGTTTGTAAACTGCTAAACTTGGTATATACCGCTTCATGATCAGAAAGCCCCCCACTAATAAATGTAGAATGGACGTCAGCGGGTGGAAAATCGGAAACCACATAATCAATTGTCGAGGATGATGTTTTTGAGATTCTTGTTGGAGAATTAACGTGCATTGTGAGACCATATGATTCAAAAATAGTTACCAAAGACAGTTGGGTCGCACAAACAGCAGCGTAGTCAATATTAAAATCACCACATAAAATGTTTCTGCTTTTAATGGGCAGAATATCTAACAAATTTAGCAGGCTCTGAAAAAATAGTTCAGTATCAGAGCTAGGTGATGTAATAAATTATAAATTTAATACCATTTAAATGGTTTTAAAGGTTAAAGACAACATATTTAATGGCTTCACTCATGAATAACTGGTAACGACACTGATGGTGGCCTTTTAGTCCAAAAAAAAGTCCAAAAATACAATTTTTATTCAGTTACAGAAATGGAATGACTAAAAAACTAACCAATAAGAAGATGGCACATATAGACATATCATAAAGAGAATAGCATTGAGCAGATTAACCTTAAGAAGTAGAAAATAAGTGTTATTAAAACTTAGATTACGGAACATACAGAATTCAGGAAAAACTGATCATAAACTTGGCCAACATTTTGGATGAACCTTGATCTGTCCTTAGTACATTTAAGAGACTAAATTCTCTTGACATTTTATGCCAAAAATATTATTTTATTTATTGAAAGTGATCATAAAGCAACAATGATCATATTTAAACACATTTTAAACAAACATTTTTTTTGTTTTCTAGTATAACAGTTTCAAATTATATATTGCACACGAAATGGGTTATACACAAACATTTTCTAAAACCTACAAAAAAGTTATTGTTGTTTAAAATGGTTTACTTATTCAAATCAACTTTTAGCCTCTTGGGGGAGTACTAGCATGTATATTTATACCATCAAATAAGCAACAGTAATTTGAGCCAATATTGAAACCTTTAGAAAAATATGATAGCTTCGATATCATAAAAACAAGATCACAATTTTTGCAAACCTCTGACATTTAAATTTTAATCCAAATCACAAGATGCATCTAAAAAAGAATCAAACTATTTCTATGAATGTCCAAAGTACCCTTACATTTGTTTAACTGTATAGTATAAGTTGAAAGGGATTTGGTTTGCATTGATTTAAAAGCTCCGGTTCCAGCCCCAAACTGGTCACTTCACCAACAGGTGAAAGAAAAAAATATAAAGTAAAAAAATATATACAATTAGTACATTAATCAACCATACTTAATGACAGAAGTTTGCAATAACAAACAAATTTGCCCAGAATACTGCTGCTATATAGATGTTTATAAATGTACATTTAAATGTCGTTTCAGTCCGCCATTTTCGACAAATTCTTTAGAACATATCCTACACTTAAATCTCTTACCCATACCCCCACTATGCTTATATAAACAATGCCTTTTTAACATCCAGTGCTCCACAAATTGTTTGGAACAAATAGTACATTTATACCTCTTACCTATTTCACCACTATGTTTGTACAAAATATGCCTCTTAAGGCCTCCATTTTCTACAAATTTCTTGGAACATATCTTACACCTGTACCTTTTTTCTTCTTCATTACTATGTTTATAAAGGTAATGCCTTTTCAGACCAGAATTTTCTACAAAGGTCATGGCACAGATTGTACATTTGAACATCTTATTTCCACTATGTAAGTATAAGTAATGTCTTTTTAGGTTAGAATTGTCGGCGAAAGTTTTTAAACACAACAAACATTTAAATTTTTCATCGTTAGCATGTACTTTTTGATGACGTTGTAAATAAGATTTCTTCGAAAAGGGCTTGAAGCAAGTTTCACATTTAAACTGAGATTCTCCCTGGTACTCAAAATTCACAGTCTTCTCTTCAAAATTATCTTCGATTTTCTTTTCATCTGTACTTCTAGTTGCTATTACCTTAGTTTGAAATAGGGGATTATTAACAATTTCTGGCCGCCTTTGGGTTAAATCAACATAAAGGCGTTTATTGGCTAATTCGTCATCAGAGAGTTTATTCCATTGGGTGATTTTATTATCATAAATGGCATTTGTAATTTGTGGAGAAGATTTTCTCGGATATTTCCCAACTTTATTTTTCATTTCGTAGATCTTGAATTCTGGAGAGACTTGTTGGTTGAAAGTATTTGCTGTTTTTTCTGATGATGCCATACCTTAAACATATTAATGAACTCAAAAGGAAAAAACAAAATTTAAAATATTACTTATAAATTTATTTCAAGTTCAAAAATTGTGATTTTCAGTAATGTAGTGATTTCAACATTTTCGCATTCGAAATATGGCATAACAGTGAAACTTTTGAAGGATTAAGGGAAAATAACAATATAGGTGGCTGAATGGAACCCATGAAGAGGTGCAGGATCATAACACTAGACACAGATGTGATCTTGTTCCAGCTTACTGGAGGCTAAAGTTGTGTCAAACTGGATCAGGGATTGGGCAATTAAATTTTATAACAAATAGACTGATAACTTAAAGGTTTTTCCCACAACTCAATTTAAAAGTAAAATTAAGGAAATTTCAATAAAAAATGTATTTTATAGTAGTAAGTAATATCTGAAATTTCAGTTTTAAACTAGAGATTAAACTAGAAATTAAGACTTTTTAATAGAACTATTGTTCATCTCAGACATGTAAGGAGAGGCGAAAGATTCAACATCTTGAGACTCATAATTCAAGGAAAAATGGAGGGTAGGAGAAGCATAGGAAGAAGACGCATTTCCTGGTTGAAGAACCTGAGAGAGTGGTTTGGGTGCAGCTCAAGGCAATTGTTCAGAGCAGCTGCCTTGAAGGTCAGAATAACCATGATGATTGCCAACCTTCGTTGAGGAGAAGGCACTTAAAAAAGAAGAAGATTAATAGGTGAGTTGAAAGAAAATAACAGAATGTATGATGGGTTCAAAAACAATACATTTTAGTCCTTTCCTAAGTGTCTGTCTTGACAGAAAAGCCATGGCTAAACCAAGAAATACAAGACTAGATGTGCAATAGCAGCATAGTCAGTATAAGAGCATGGAAGATAAGATGGTACAGCCATAAATTGAAAGGAGAAAGAAATACAATAAAAGAAATAAATGAGAGAACAGTAAAACAAAACAGTCATTGTAAGGGAGAACTCAACCCAGAAGTTGATTAGATTGCATATAAACAATTCCCAGACATTTTTGGTGTGTATACTTAGGTAAATATGAACATTCTGTCAAACATGGATTAGATTCAAATAACTAGTAATAACACAAAAATAAAATGAAAAACTAGTTGAAAATTATGTACTTACCTGTATAGGAAACATTTTCGTTTTGGTATTCTCTACACTTTATTTCACTAGAAGAAACTAAATTTTCTATATTGTTCACTTCGGGCTTGTTTTTGTTCTCATTTTGGTCGCTTAGCGTTTTGATCAAATTGGCTACTTCAAATTCTCTAGGTTCTTCCCTAATTCTTTCTAATATCGTTATTGCTTCTTTTATGCCAAATTCGGGCCTTCCGAAAAAATAATCTTCAAATAAAATCGCCATCGTTCATTAGCCTCCAATTATTGATGTAGTTTTATAACATAACCTCAATTTCAAAAATAGTACAAAGAGCAGGGTCGTATTTAGAAATCTCAAGGGCCATTGATAAATTTAACTCAAAATTTTTGTTACAAATGGAATAAAGAGTTTATTTTATGAAGTTGTGGATGAAGAAAATCAATGATAACAGACGATATTATCTAACTCCAGTCCTCAGAGACGAAAATTCCACTAAACTTCTAAGAATCATAGGAACGAGCTGAATTTTGTAAAGAATGTCAATTTTGGAACTGGAAAAGAAAAAATATGCAAAAAAGTTTACCACCCCTACCCCCAGGCTTCCCCCTAAAATCTCACCATTAGGGTGGGAAACAGAAAAAAACTATTTACAAAGAATTTGTACATAGTAGAAAAAAAATTTTCAAATTGTGACTGAGAACATCGCATGTTGTTGCCTTATGAAACCTTCCTTCTCCGAAACGGTTGGACCGAGTTTTATGAAATTTTACATGTGCATTCTGTAGGTCTGAGAATAGGTTTTTGTCTATTTTTTATACGCCATAATACTACAACAGGGAGTAAGACAAGGAGACACCATCTCTCAAAAACTATTTACCCTTGCTCTAGAAGACATTTTTAAGAAACTAGAATGGAACAACAGGGGTATCAACGTCGACGGATCCTACTTAAACCACTTATATGTTACAACAATTAAATGCAGTTTCAAGAGCGGTAATCTTTAAAATGAACTACAGTTAAACAAAAATACTTAGCCGAGACCAGACAAATATAACAATACAAAATCATACCATAGAAAATGTTGAACATTTTGTATATCTAGGTGATGTCATCAAACTAGGAAAACCAAATCAAGATGCTGAATTAAAAGAAGAACACAACTGGTATGGGGCGCTTTCGGTAAATTAGCATATATCTATAACGCATGCATACTACCAGAGATGGATAGAGTAGAGAGATGGGTAGATGACATAAGAGCAGTAGCAGACAAACAGTGGATTAGATTGGCGCAAGATAGAGAAAGATGGAAGCAATTGGGAGAAACCTACATTCAGGAGTGGATAGAAAATGATTGACAAAGAGAGAACTGATAGTCAAAATCGTCGGTTGGTAATTCAAAAAGGTAGAATAAAATTAAGAAGTATATCTGCGACTTTGGATTTAAAAATTCAAGTATACCTGTGGCTTTTAATTATTGTCACTCTTTTTCGAAACTTGTGTAACACCGTAGTTGGACCATATATCTGGATTACTTTGAGGTTTTATCTTGCATTTAGTTTAAAGATAAGGTATACAATTTTCGGGTTTTTGCTGTTAATTTTAACTATATTTTGAGTGCGTTTTCTTATAATTAATCCTGCTCCACCATTTAAAGTGACTTCTCCTCTAAAATGAAATAGATGTCTTGATATATTTAGGATTCCTCTCTTCGTCTTATTTTGCTGATCTAGATGACATCCCATTTTATTTTTTTGTACTTCCAACACTCCAAGAAAATTAAGAAAACAGCCGGGTGGTTAAAAAAAAGTACCCTCGATATTAAAAGATAAAGGAGGAAAACTATATGGAAAACAGAGGAGAGGGTTACAAAGATGGAAGGAATATATAGAAACATTATGTTCCAGTATCATAATATTGCAGGAAAAGGTTAAAATAGAAGAGGAGAGCCCTTATACCTCAAAAGAAGAATAGCTAGAGCCATCCAAAGAGTAAAAAAATAATAAAGCTCCAGGTCCTGACAAAATACTTAGGAATAAGAAATAGGAAATCCTCAGATCATTAAAATATGACTACATCGAACCTATAGAAAACCTTTTTAACACCTTTTACCAGACAGGAAAGTTTCCAGATGATTAGCTGCTCTCAGCAGACTAGTGAATTTTTTGAAATTATTAAATTGATTCCATCCCACCTAAAAAAAAATAAAAACGAAAAATTGATGTTTTGATTGAAAATTGAACATACCAAAATTAATAAAATTGAATTCTGGGAGTGAAAGCATTTTGCCTATTTTAACTGGGAATTGCCCTTTTGGAATGAGTTTTAATATTTATAAAACCAAAACGATGATAATCAGCAAAAATTCTAATTTAAACTATCAGTTTTTTTATAAATGATAAACCTATAGAAAATGTTCAAAACTTCACACATCTAGGGTGTAACTTATATGAGTTTGGGATCACTTTTAGAGAAATTTGTGATCGAATTGAGAATGTCAGAAGTATGTTTTATAGGATTAAAGCTGTCCTCTCGAATCTGAACTTTAATATAATGGTTAGACTTCGAATACTTAGATGATATGTATTTTCAACTCTCCTATATGGTGTAGAGGCATGGATCCTTACACGAAACAGGAAAATAACAGCATAACAGAAAGCCAAGTAGATGATAAATCTCTTGGCTGAAAAATCTAAGACATTGGATGAGTAAAACATCCTTAGAACTGTTTAGAACAGCTCTAAATAAACTTTTGTGGACCAGAATGATAGCCAACATCTAATGAAGATATGGCAGAGGCTAACTTTTTAGAGCGAGATTTTTATAGAATTAATTTATGATACTATGTATCCATTTGTTTTTCAGTGTACTCTGTTCTGGTAAGCATCAGCTAATCTCTGTATCTAATTTAAGGTACTCTTATAATAAAAGACTTAAAAATAAAAAGTAAAAATGTATTGACTATTTTTACACATAATTAAAATTAACTATAAATTACTCTTACATCTAATTTCCTTTTGAATACCTCTTCCAAAACTTTTTAACATCATCATGGGCTGATTTATTAATAACTAAGGTCCTCTTTTCTTTGTTGCACCATATTAAAACACCGTTTGATTCTGTATACTCTTTGAGTACATTAAAATCTGCTTGAGATAGGAACTGACTATACAACACTCCTTCATTATATGTTAATCTATTTCTTTCTAATTCCCATAGTTTGATTTGATCAACTACAGTTGGAGGAAGAGGTTGTTTAGCTTCTGCATCTAACATTTGAGGGTGAGCGTGCTGCTTCAAGAAACCTATAACCTGATCGGCTGTTATTCCTCCTTTTAAAGCTTGTCTAATGGAATCTCTTGTTATAACACCAACCACTAAATTTGGAAATCTATACATAAGCTCTGTAAATAAAGCGATTAGAGCAACTTGCAGATTAGAATCTGTATATGCATATACTCTATAATTTGTTTCAACTACTATATAACCTTTAGGACGATCTTCTTCAATATCCGCTGTAACTTTATTCTGACTACTAGTTATATTTAGAGCTAGCCTAGTAGGATAAAATCTCCCAGCTTTTCTCTTTCTTTGATAAACTAAACCAAACTCTCTCAGATGTTGCAAAAATATCAACAATCCTGGACTCATACCTTCAGTACTGTAATCTTTCCCTAAGGTACTAAAGCTAAGTTGAAACAAAAAAGTAAGACACTCGACTAAATTAAGACCACGTTCTTCTACTGTGTCTAAATACTGAAGTAAAAAATGCCAGACTTGTGCCTGTCTATCCAAAAGCAAAAATTGGAAACCTTGTCTTGTTATCACTAATGTTCCATCATCTTCATCACGTTTCATCAGACCTGCATGCAAAAGAATCCTCACAGCATCAGCTGATATTCCTTCTTGCTGCTGGGAACCTACCATATAGTGTAAGACACATTCCCATCTTTCTTGAGAATAGGTATCTAAAAACATAATAATAAAGTTAGATTTTCTATCATCTTTAATTATTAAACTAGCTGACCCAATAGACATTGTTCTGTTTGAGCCGTTAGTAATAAATTCAAACTGAAATCTGTATACAAAAAAAAATCCGTATTTCCTTTGGTTACAAAAAGACTTCTTAGTTTTTCTATATAACTCTGTATACTATGTGTTTACCATGTCTATAAAAAGTTACTAATAATTGATATTATATGAAACTTTTTATATAAGGCATGATTGCAATGAACTAGCAGCAACCCTTTGCAAAAATATGAAAAACAGGGTTCTGTCTAGGTTATAACAGTTGTGTATAATATATTGTGTGGCTACAGTTCTTAATTATTGTGAGATTACTGTGATATTAATGCATATTATAATATGTATTATTCTCTACTAAATAAAGACCCAATAAACAATAACATCATAATCAAAATAATTTAATTACCTAGGAAAGCAACATCTCTAGCCTTACTATCTACTTCTAATGCTGAAGACATACTCCATGCTTTGCCACCTCCAAGCAATGCAATTTTGAGATTCCTTTTAAACATAGGAGATAATATCCAACCTAAAAGACCACCAGGTATAGCTGCCTCCTGCCATAACGTTAGTTCCGCTAAAACTTTGGTAGCATAGGTATGTTCTTTTGAAAAAGTTTGGGAACCCCAAGAGGCCACAACTGCTTGCGGCACTGGCTGTTCAACAAATAATAATCGAATGACATATTGCCTTGCTAGGTCCGGCAATTCTCTATAAACAGCTAAACATATTGTAGGATGATTGTAAAGTTTTTCTAATACATTTGAGGGTCGAGATTTTAAGTAATCATACAGGTTTTTACATTCTAGATTTGACTGCTTTATACGCGTGTTTCGCTGGTTTGAGGCACCAGCCCCATTATCAGCCATCTTTATACTTTATAACACAATCATTTAATTATTGAAATATAATAATATAACTTCACTTTTGATTAACCATAACAAAACACCCACCGAAAACCGAAACAGAAAAATTTATGGTTAGGGTTTGGAATTAACTTCTTCTACTTTGAACTTGACAACTTGAGAGTAATTTTATACGATACGTTCTTCAGCACTATATGTTGTAAAAGTAAAAAAACAAAATTAGACCAGTTAAGATCTTACCTATAGATCATAGATCGGTTACCCATATATTACATAATCGAAACATATAGGTCAAATTTTAAATTGTGGCTTTTAATTTTAATAAAAAGTTTAAAGGAATCAGGATATCTGTTGGAGACCACAAAAAAGTGTAGATATAACAAACCTGGGAAAAAAAGAAGAATGTCATTCGGTGATATAACCAATAATCTTGTTTATTTTTTTATTTTTAACGTAATTTATAATTTATAACATATTTATAATTTAAATATTTTAATAAGTTCTTTAGAACGGAAGTTATGAATAAAAGATATTTTTGCATAAACTGTGGAAATGAAGTCAAAAGTTTATATAGAGAATACAGTACAACAGTGTTGAAATTAACAGAATGTGTAAGTTATGAATTCAGATATCTGTTTTTAAATTCACAATGCTGTTTTTAGGACAATTGTAAAAATATTGCTGATAAATACGTAGAATATGACACCGTCATAGTAGTTATCGACTTACTTCTACTTAGAATAATGGCTTATAGGCATATTTTACTCAATTCTGAATTTAAGGTAAATACAATATTTTTAAATTTTTAATTAATCACTTTGCATTTACATACCGTATCATTTAATTCGAAGCATAAATGGATAGGATATGTAAGAACCAATGTGTACAATAAACAAGACAACATTAAGTCTATTATTGACATTTATCAGAAAGAATAGTTTCATTTTACCAACTCACTCTTAATCATTGTATAGCTTTAAGTACTATTCAACATCAAAATATACTGAAATCATAGTGATCATCACTATCATATACGCTTCTACTCTAGAATAAATAATGGAATAGGAAGGAACAAAGTAAATGTCTCAATTAATGGATATAGCGGAATTGATAGGCCTAAGAATTATAGAACTTTACATACTTGTGATGGGAAGATCTGGTTCGTTTCTGTGACCTGGTTCTTCCAGGTCATTCATTAAAATGACCTATTCATAAAGATCCGTTCATATGAATGACTAATTAATTTGTTGTGCGAAGGTCAAGTGCGTAGAGTTTAATATTCATATGCTTATGAATCTTTCTGAGAGTATATGAACTAATGATAATGCAGGACCCGTTCATAGAGATTCTTTCATTAGAATGATTTTAATTATATTGTTGTTTATGTGCAGATTTCGATATTGTTACTATAAATAACAGACTACTGAACTATTGACTCGACAATTCGAATGTATATAATTTTACAGTTTTGCAGCGTAAGGGTTTTGCCGTTCTGGGAAACTGAAATCAGCATTTGATCCTTTGTGGTTCACGGTTCATGCATTAATTTGACCGAGCAATGTGTCACGATCACACAGTTCTTTCATAAACACTAGACAGCGTCATTCATAGGCATAATTCATAGGGTCATATGAACGGTAGGATCACAGAATGTGATTTTATCAATGATGGATCTTCGAAAAGATCAGATCTTTGTGAATGGTTCATTCATAACCTTCTCATCACTAACATACAGCTCCAAATAGAGATAAATTCATATATTTGTATTCTTGTGTATGTGTCTTCTCTTAATAGAAATTTAATATCATGATGACTATTTTTTTTTTATGTATTAATGCTTTAAATAGTTCCATTGGCCTTCATTGGAATTACTCCCACAAACTTCTCAGCTAATACTTCATCCTTTTCTTTTTTTCTTGTTTTATTATAAGTAATAATTCATATTTTTCCCTCTCATCACATACCTCAAGTATTTAAATGTCTTTAAATATATGTGAAATAAGTCAAATAGGTATGAAAATGTTTAATAAGAATATTTTTAATAATTTAATATTAATATGAGTAATATGTTAATTTTAGAATTATTGGAAATTACCTATAGGACTGATAGTATTGGAAACATATATGACTTGGATATTAACTAAAGAATTTCCACTAGAAAGACATAAAGAAATATCTAACATCACTTCTTTTGATGAGGCTGATATTTACCTGGATGATATAAAGTTCTATGAAATGAGCCTTAATACAACTTTAGGCTTTCTAAGTTATTTAGGAGTAAATTATAGCCTGTCCATAATTTATTCATATTTACGAAAAAGGGGCATCATTAACTTTACCACAATATGCAAATCTGTGTGTCTCTCCAGTAGTGCTACCTTTTTAATATTACCGTCTTTAATATGGGATACTTATATAAATGAATTTCATATTTTATTTGTATCGTTATACACTACACTTTCACAGCTCTTGGCTCATAGAGGTAAGTTATTAATATTTATTTGTTATTAACTGGTTATGACTTGTAACTAAAAAATAGGCAGTGTTTTCTCAATGGTTTCTGGTTTGTGAATTGTTAAATTGATCAAATGAAAGGTCTTTACTGTTTGCTACTACACTCAGATGCAAAAAAAAACGCAACTGAAAAAATTTTGATCAAATTTTTCAAAAAGTATTTAAATTTTTTTATTTTTAGCCCTAACAATTTTTTTATTTTTATTTAAATTTTTATTTTAGTTAATCGAAAGGTGGTTTTTTATCCTAACTTTGAAACATCCTGTGGAACAATTCCGTTAGCGGATTTTCATAAAACCTTGTTTTTCGGTTGCAACCATGTCTTCTAAGTATTATGTTTTTTGTTTCATGTGAAAATATGGATTGGTTCATTTTTAGAAGCGAAATGACTTTGCCACCCACAATTTAAAAACTTTTCCTATTATTACCAATATCTTTTGTATTAATTTGTAATACAATGGTAGGGGCTTTGGTGACTGATATCGAAGGAATGTCTTATTGACATCCCAGAAGCACTGTATTTAAATAATGATCAAAAGCAAAGACGTGATCTTGGTTTTAATGAATAGTGATAACAATAACAAAACATAAAAAAACAAATTAAATATATTCTTAACCAAAGTATGCAAATAACAAAGAAAAACTACTAAAAACTAACTTAATACTTTGTATTGCCTCCTCTAGCCTCTATAACTGCCTTACATACCGGCGCATGCTGTCTATGAGGTTATGAATATCATCTTGCTGGATGTTCTGCCATACCTCTTCTAGAGTCAAGCGAAGTTCGTTAATTGAGGCTGGTGCAACTTCGTGACCTCTAATATTTCTACTAAGCATGTTCGAAACGTGCTCTATTGGGTTTAGATCTGGCGAACACGCTGGTCAGTTCATTTTATTAATACCAACTTTTTCTAAATATTGAGTGACACACATTGCAGAGTGATGATGGGTGCAGACAGCATGGAAGAAAGAAATGAAGCACACAAAATGTATATAACAAAAAGAACATGGGAAAGACGAACATCATTTGAAGTCGCAAAACTGAAAGCAGACAAGATATGTATAAATAAAAAAAGATGCTATGAAAATAAACAAATAGAAAAAATGTAAGAAAATTTCAAAAACAACGAACTGGTGGGTTGATGAAGTGGGTACGAACTATGTAGAAGAGAGTGAAGTAGAGAATGGAGTAGAATCTCCAATCATAGAGGAAGTTCTCAAAGCTATTAAGGCTCAGAAAAACAATAAATTCCCGGGAGTTGACGAAATACCAGCAGAATTGTATAAGGTAGCTGGCAAACACCTAGCAAGTCACATCCATGCGCTCATCAAAGACATATGTCAAGAAGAGAAAATACCAGACGACTGGAAGAAAAGTAAAGCATGTGGTGTTCGTGTGTATCAAGGTATAAAAAATGCTTATTAAAAGCTTAAAACTTTATTTTAAAGAAGATCTTTTCGGAATTAAATCATTTCATCATCAGTTTACTAAAAGAGAAAGTAAAAAACCAATATTAAAAAACACGTAAGTTGAAATTTAAATGTATAAAAAGAACACGTTGGTTATTTACTACTTACATAAAAAGTTTGGCCACAGAAACAACTAGAAGGACATCAGTAATAAAGTCCTCGTGGAATTTACAAAGGTAAATGCAATAGACCATTAACTTCGGTAATTAATAAAAATCACAACTGGGGGCATTTAACATGTCCCCTAGGAGCTAGTGAAATTTTGTCGACTTACATTACCTCTGATCTGTGCTGGAGTCTAGGGCTAACTGATAGAAAGATGGTATGAAAAATCAGTCAGTACTCGTCAACGTCAAGTGGAATGATGTGGTAGGAGCAAAAGTCATTGTGCTTCCGTTTATGGATAGGTTGTTTCTTCACTAAATATCCAAGTTCCACTTTATTATGTATTGTTTATTTATTATTTCTTTTATTTTACGATTTTTTTCTAATAATCAAATTACAACGTTGATCTATTTATTTTTTAAACAACTTTTTCTACAGTCCAAAGAATATAAAACCGATATAATTTAATTTAATGAACTACTATAAATCCATTACACTAAAATTTAAAAGTTTTCCTAATTGTTTCGTGAAGTTATGTCAAAAAAGATGTTATAGCCTTCTTATACTTATTATCTTCTTAAGATAATAAGCTCAATTGTGATTTCAAGTTTAAGAATAGACATTTTTCTTTTTAGCTGTAAGTAATTCTGAGAAAATATGGAGCCTTATCGTTATATTTTCATCACATATTGTTAAAATGTACATTATGAATACAACACACACTAAATTAATTTCATAAGTTTTGATAAATATTTTTGTTTGTCAAGTTGACATTATACGCTTTTATAAAGAACTTGAAGTTTGTTTTTATTGTATAAACCATTTTGAACCATGGCAGACAGAAGAGGGTCAGCAAAAGTAGGATATTGGATGTGGGATCATTTTAATAATACATTAATGTTCATGGGGTAAGTAAAACATGCAGCTGATGAATTAGACACGATCATTTGGTTGCTTTTTGTATGTAACTACCTATCCTTAAAACTTTACCGTTTTAATTTCTTTGTTTTAGACAAGTCTTTAGTGTTAAAATTTTATTCATATTGTATAAAAAGTCCAAAAGATTTATTTGTAATAAAGCTGATAAAAATCTGCGAACTAACCTAAAAATCATTAAATTTTTTAAATAATGCTATTAAACATTTGCTATTCAATAAGGCCTAATGATTTGTAAGGAAAAAATGTTAATAAAGCTGTAATATTTACGTACTCAAAAAGCGCTATAGACAAAATTAATAACAATAACTGCAACAAAGAACTAAGGGGTCTTGGAAGTTATACTATTTAAATAAAATATAGAAAATAGATTATGTTGGATTCCTAGACATAATGATATCGAGGGAAATGAAATAGCTGACAAACTGGCAAAGGTAGGGGCTTAATTAAATATTCCTGATAAAATTAGATTAGATGAAACACGATTTCTACGGAACACAAAAAGAAATATGGAGAATGATCAGAGGAAGAAGAAAAGAGATCAACGAACTAATAAAAACGAAACCCATTCAGAAGGAAACATGGGTAGACTACTGTGATGTCCTCTCGTAGGAGTCACTATCCGGGTAGCTTTTGGACAGTCAGAGACAGAGTTCAAAATAAAAATAAAACTTTATTGTCTTCCTTAAATTAAATTGACAAAAATCTTATGTAAATATTTACAATTTGGTTTAGTCTTCTCAGTACCTGGCCTATTTATTCAAATTAAGTTTGACCTTGTCATATGAAATTAGTCTTATCGGCAAGCGAGTGTGTATTTGAAATTTTACGTGAACGTTGTATCGATTTAATAACAGCGGACGATAGGTACAACGAAAGGAAAGGAACTCAACACGTCCCTTAAGTGATTCGAGTCACGTGACACGACTGCTTCAGAGTACGGGTAGTGAAGAGCTCAACACGCTCTTCGGGTAACGGCGGTATGGAACGGAACAACTTGTGAACTCAACACGTCCACAAGCCGGGGTAGGGAAGAAGAGAACCTTCAGTCAACACCTGTCGATTCTTCCTCTATGAGGAAATGTTGCGGTTTATATAGCGGAGCTTGGTAATTAGTTTTGCCCTTTCTACTGTCGATACACTCCTACTACATGGGTTGGTTCGCGCGCACGCTGGTTTAACGGTGATGGCTTGGACTCATCGTTACACTACTTTCAATCCCTATTTGCTAAAAGTGATGACAATGAACCACCAACACCAGAGGTGACGACAAACGAAGAAATATATATTGAGGAAGAAGAGATAAAGGAAGCATTGAGGAAATTAAAAAATAGGAAATCACCAGGAGAGTTGATTCACCAAAGAAAGTGAGATTCCCTGACGAAATCTTCCTGAGTAAGAACTAAAAAAAGGATATCAAATGATTGGAAATGGTAATCTGATGAATTGTCGATTTACCACCCTGAAACCAGCTTGGTATTTTCTTACTATCCGTTCTGAATATGGTGCCATGGTCTTCTTTAGTCATCCTCTCTAAATCAGCAAATTCTTTGTATTGGGTAATTAGCAACTGGACGTCTAATATTGTTTATCGTCTAATATTTCGTGTATCGAAGTTTTTCGGTAAACATAAAATAAATATAGACGTAATATGATCAATTTTTGTCATACTTTTCCAGTTATGATCCGACTGCTCAGCAAAGATTGAAGTCAAAGAGTACTGCTACAGAATCTACCACCGCCATTAATGTAGTAGTTGATACCACATTTAAAGACACATTTGGAACTGCTTCTCAAGTAAGTTTATCATAGTTTTGTTCGCGGAGATAATCCCTTATTAGTTTTCGATAATTTTCGGACCAATTAGAGATTCATTAATTTAGAAAATATGGGAAATGCACTGGTATGCTCTGTTTAATTGTACAAATATAGAAAATCTAATAAGCATAGGTACCCTTTTAATTAAACGCATATCACGCACTAACATTTTTTATTTAATTGTAAATTTCTGTTTACTTAAAGACTAGGTTTAGAAAAATCTACGAAAGAAGAGTGAGGATAAATGATCTGAATGTAGTTATTTTACAAGATTGCAAAGATGTGGCACTCTTTTCATGCGACCCGAAACTTTTAACGTTGGAATTTGTCAGTTTCTTTCACACCAAAGCTGTAGACAGATTTTTGCGATCGGCGATTATATATTTTCAATATTATCTACAGGTAAATTTATAGTTTTTTTATATAATACTTAATATTGCTTCATTCCTTAAGTCTTGACAAATTTTTATTATATCATATCGTGATGTGCGATATTCCTACGGTCACTAATAAGCTATTTCGGATAAATTTGTAGAAAATATAAATTCTCTTTTGTTAAGATTCTCAAACTACATCTTTCTGCAATTTTTTATCATCTTAATCTTCATCGTCTGTATAACTAAATACACTGGAGTGCAAAATTAACAGGACCCTCAGATTTTTTTGTTTTCTTTTTTAGTTTTTGTAGATGTTTAGAGATCGCTTATTAGCGATAATGGTGTTTTTTCTTGTAGAACCTGTTTAAATGTTTTGTGGGAACAACAACATTTTTACACACACGTTTTGTTATTAGTGTGAAATATTTATATAAATTTATCAGAGATAAATTCTAGATTTATCATTCTAGAACCTTTAGAACATTTTTTGCTTAAAATGTGGAATTATTTTTGATATAAAAATGCCCACCCCCGAGTTGGGGTGGTATTCATACCTAGGAACATCAGCAGAAGGTAGATTTTCTACTTCTTCTTTAGATAGAGATGCCTCTTCAAGGAAACCTGAGGTGAAAACCTTGATAAACTGGACTATAATTTTTTATACCTTAACTGTTATATTTTAAAGGTTTGGCACAGAATGCAGTTTCGAAGGGTGGAAGCCAGTCGCAAATTGCGTCAACCTGTCGTAACAGAACTAGAAAACGTGATCAGGGACGATTTAGCTGATCTTCGTAGTATGCTGGCACGGGACTATGCGGTTATATTAACTGGCGTAGGAGATTCGAAAAAGTTCCATCACATGTATAATAAAAATAATGTTTCTTTGTCCGACAAAGACAGAAAACGGTTTGAAATGTTCGTTAAAATGGCTGTCAGAGTTATATGGATTGCTTTAAAAAAGAAAAATTTGACCATTATAGGTAAATAGATAAAATTCTTAACTTTATTAAAACTATTTATAGCTGAAAGCTTATGAATAATTTAATTCAAATTTTAGTGTAGTTGTAGAGAAAACTATTAAAACTAAAAAATCATTGAAAACTGCAATATACGTACATTGCACTATATTTTAACAGATCTGGTCAGTAGTGATGTATTATTTACTAGATTACTTCTTTTTCTCTTCTTTGGTATATCGTGAACCTTTTCGTTAGAGGTTCGTTTCATTCTCTCGATGCTAGCAGGATTGTCAATGTCAAAAAGAGCGACCACTTGATGTGACAAGACAACGGCCTTGTTGAAATTAGGGTATCTAGTGGCTGGATCTAAGGTGTAAGATTTCCAGTTTTTGTTCAAATTGTCCGGAGTGGTCTGCGCTAGCAATGTGTATATCGATTCACGTTCGGCCAATACTTCTAGGGGTGACGCTGTTCCCAAGGACCAACTTCTAATGGCCCAGACTGCGTCCAAAGAAGATAACAATCCTCGGGCGCAACCAATGACGTATAATATATAGACTCGGTGAACGCTTTAAAAAGTGTCCAAAACATGAATACCTTTGTTATTGTTTATTGTTTTGATACGAAGATGCACGAAGTTCATGATTTCTTACGAAGCATCACGAAGTTGATCTTGTGTTTGAAAACATCATGGACGTACTCCATTTTGTGTGACAAGCAAATTTTATTTTAAATTGTTGATAGTTATTTACTTACTATTTTAGTAAAATGCCATACTATTTTATCAAAATAATTATTTCTCTTATAGACGGGAACAAAAAGAAATCATAAATATTTAATTTTAATTAAAAAAATAATTATTGTCATTAACATATAAATGAGCACGCCGCTGTTGTGATAAACATACCTTCAACCTTGAGCCGAGATCTTTCGGACACTTGATTCTATAGCGAGAATAGGGGACTGCGTAGTCTATATATTATACGTCATTGGGCGCAACTGTATCGGTGGGTCAAAACGGCTCAAGTAAACTATCTCCGACTAATATTTTTAGTAAACGATAATAGTTTCTCGCCACCACTTTTGAAGCGTTTTCGGTGGTATACATTGAAGTAAAATCGAACATGGCGATATCCGATTGACCGTAATGATTAACTGCAATTTCTAAATTGGGCATCTGATATAATTAGTACTAAAAGTGACAACTTCTATTGCGTATTGCTGTAGGACTTCTTTCTCTACGTTTTTGGGAGCTAATAACCTCCGATTTCTCTTCACATACCGAAAGTCCATTTCATGTAAAGTTCTTTGTAATACTCTCATAGGTATATTATTTAAATTATCATCTGCGTCTGCATTAACTTCTCGTTGAATACCCTTTAAGGTAGGCAGTTCGTTCCTAAAATAAAATCCATGGACTTTTCTTCGGATTATACTTTTCGTAGTATCGTCCAATACAGTTTTGCACGTCCTTTATGGATTGGTTTTTGGATAGGTTTGTTACCTTGAATTATTCGGAAAACCGATACTTTCGTTAAATCTCTACACAATGCTGCGACGTCCTCTATAAGCATATCTTGATATCTTCTACGCAATCCCTCATAAACCGATTTTATCTTTTGCTTTTCTCTCACAGATAACCATCTTTTTTTATTTTGTTTATTAACAGATTTACTGCACCTTGGTTTTGATGCCATGATGTTACCCGACGGTACGCCACCTATATACCAGCCACCTGATTTTAATGGTTATTTCGCTACCCCAGTTCAAAACAGAAACAACTCAAAATTTTGTTGAAATGAGTTATTTCCGTAAAATTTATGCTAGGATGATAATCTACCTATTTCAAAAGAGAAATAAATCATACATTCATATGCATTCCTTAAAAAGTGTCTATTTCCTTTTTGATTTTATAATCTTTTTTAACAATGTCGGTTCAAAACAGAAATAACGTAGTTGTTTCTGTTTTGAACTGAATGTCACGCGCTGTCTGACATCTGTTAGGAAATAAGTTAAATTATTTCAGTTTTGAACCAGCCTGTGTCACGTTTCTTTTAGGTTATGTCAGTTTGAAAGTAATTGTTAACCTTTATGTTTTTAATTATTTAGAACAATATTAGTTCCGTTATTTTGTGTATTTTCGTAAGTTTTATAAGTATTACAATGTTGCCTATAGGTAGAGGTAAAAGAATGGCATTATTGGCAGTTGGCGAACTAAATAGTAGTGATGAAAATGAACCATTAAACCAAATAGTGGATGAAGTAACTTTTCAGAAAGAGGTAAGCCGGTTAGCTGTAGTAAACTAGTAGCATTCTGTTTTGATAATAGGTACATAAAAAGTTTTTCAAATTGTTTTAGGGTACTACTAAAAACCTTAATACGGATAATATAGTAGTAGAAATTAACGTTGATGGTAATGTTGGATATAATGACCAAAGTAATAATAGCAGTGGCTATCCATCCGTTCTCCTTGCAATACCTGAATTTCCATCGAGAGAAATATTTGTACACGACCAAGTAAGGAATTTGTTCTAAAAAGCGTTAAAAAACATATTCATTATTACATTAACTTTTTTTAGGTACAAAATTGCAATATTATTAAAGAGATAAATGGTAGTGTTACTGTGGAATTAGATAGTAATGAAAATGCGCTTGATTTGTTGATAAACACTCAGGAACCAGCTGCAATTTTTGAAGAAAATATTAATGAAGACTCTGCTGACAAAAGCCAAGAGAAAACCTATTTAAACTTATCAACTTTCTACCCGGTAAGCAAAAAAAAATTAATTGAATATTTTAGTATAATTTAGCTTTTTTATTATTATTTTAGAGAGAAAATGACGATGAGGAAATAAATTCTAGTGTTGGTGATGAAAGCAAAGATAAAGATTATATTGTACCCGACACTTATGGAGCAAATACCAGTTCTAGTGACAATGAAGCTGAGAACTATCACGAAAAAGTTGCTGAAACAGAAGAAATGGTTGAAGAAACTGAACTGAGTGAGAAAATTCTCACAAAAAAAAGATCTAGAAATCCAGACAATTGGGAGAAGAATGTGTTAAAGAAAAAAAGAAATCTAGGAAAAAGTTTCACAACAAAAAAAGGTAAAATAATTGCAGCAAGAAGTGTTCAATCAGCTTGTGGGCCCAAATGCAGATTCAAATGCAGCGAAAAAATTAATAACGAAATACGTCAAGAAATACACAACAGTTTTTGGAAAATGGGCAATATTAATGACCAAAGAGAGTTTATTTTAAGGCACATGTCTGAGTTAAAAACAAAATACCAAAAAAAGCTGCCTGAACGAAAAAGGTCATACAATTTCGTTTATACATTTTCTATCAATGGAAATAAAATCGTAGTTTGTAAGACATTTTTTATGGGTACACTAAACGTTAGTTCAAAAATGATTTTTACCGTTACGAAAAAAAAATCTCAGGATGGATTTCTGGAAAAGGATAAACGTGGCAAACATGGACACATGGGAAGGGCTATTAATCCACAGATAAAAGCCGACATACGTGAACACATAAACTCATTTCCCTTAATAGAATCACATTTCTGTCGTTCAAGAACTGCCAAAAAATATATCGATGGAAGTCTTAACCTGTCCACTATGTACAGATTATATAAAGAACAATGTGAAATACTACAAAAACCTTATGGAAAGTATAACATGTACTCCACAATTTTTTCTACAGAATTCAATATAAGTTTTTTTCAACCAAAAAAGGACCAATGTGCCCTATGTCATAGCTTTAATACCGCTACGGGAGAAGAGAAAGAAAATTTAAAAATGAACTACGAAAATCATCAATTAGAAAAAGAGGCAAGTAGAAAAGAAAAAGCTGAAGATGTGTCAAAAGCTGTTTCCTCGACTGATCAAATAGTTGCGGTTTATGACTTACAGTCTGTATTAAGTGTACCTTGTGGAGAGGTTTCACATTTTTTTTATAAAAGTCGTTTATCTTGTTATAACCTCACCGTGTATGACATTGGACAAAAAAGGGTTTCTGCTATTTTTGGAACCAGACCATTGCTCAACGAGGTGCAAATGAAATAGGAAGTTGTGTATATTATTTTCTAAAAGAGCAAAATGAGAACCAGGTAAAAGATATTACTTTTTACAGTGATAATTGCAGTGGGCAAAATAAAAATAAATTTATTATTGCAATGTACATGTACTGTGTGCAGTCTATGACAAAAATTGAATCCATTACACACAAATTTTTAATAGCTGGGCATACCCAAAACGAAGGGGACAATATGCATTCCTTAATAGAAAGGGAGAAAAAAAGAAAGCTTAAGGCCAGCCCGATTTATGTGCCTGCTCAATGGAGTACTATAATAGAATTAGCCAAAAAGACCGGCCATCCTTATAAAATTAAAGACATGACGACTGAGGAATTTCTGGACCTAAAAAAACTGACATCCTCTTTGGGAAACAATTATAATATAAACGAACAACTAGAAAAAGTTCTGTGGACTGACATTAAAATTGTTATGGTCAAAAAAAATAACCCTTATATTCTTTTTTACAAGACATCTTATTCTGATGCTGAATACAAATCAATCAATATAAAATTTAAGTCTCCAAGAAATAAATCAGTACCTAGTTTATCTCAACTTTATACCGGACCTATTCTTATTCCATCTAACCTTAAGAAAGGATTACTAGAACTTTGTGAGCTCAAAGCTATTCCTAAGGTACACTGGGATTTCTACAGAAATTTGTTGGAGCAGGAAAATACAAAAAAACACAAAAAAAATATTCCACCAAATAATGATAGTGATTGTGACGAGTGTGAAAAAGTGAAAGATATCTAGTATTTAATTTTAATTATGTTTAAAATTGGAATAAAATGTTTAAGTTATACTATTTTTTTATTTCCTAGTTTAGAAACAACATCAATTTTTTTCCATTTTTTATTTCAAAACAGAACTAACATGAAATTTAAAAGATTTGTTTTTTTTTCTTTTAATTAGGTAGAAAGGAAATAAAAAACACACTTATGATGTAACCATCTACTAAAACCACATTAGAATTGCAAAAAATACTAGTCTTCAAATAATTGGTTATCTCAATAAAAACGTGGTCGTAGCTGAGCGATTTTAGTTATTAGCCATTTTCTCAAAAGTAGTTATTTTAAATTGTTTCCGTTTTGAACTTGGGTAACGATTTGTGGGTGAGTTTTTACAATGTTGCCGTTTTGCTTTAAGAATATTTTTCTCTCTATTGGCACTCAGGGTATATTGCACCTCAGTGGCACGGATTAGCTGCAAGCGGTACTAAATAATAAATTTCACAACAAGGCGAGTCTACCATGGTCTCTAGTTCGGACTTCCAACAGATATAACCGGCAAAAATGATAATTGAGAAGTGGATTTGTGTGCTAATAAAGAAATAAATATATAGCCGCTTACCACTGAGTGTTAACGAACTACAAAATGTCTGCCCTGACAATCCTATTGAATTCAGGGTATAGATACCCTAATTTCAATAAGGCCGTTGTCTTGTCACATCCAGTGGTCGCTCTCTTTGACACCGACAATCCTGCTAGCATCGAGAGAATGAAACGTACATCTAAAGAAAAGGTTCACGATATACCAAAGAAGAGAAGAAGAGTATACGTACATTTTTTAATATTTTCTCAAATCCATAGCTTCATTTAAGTTATCCAATTGGTTATAATGATCTTAGTACAGCATGTTCACGGAAAATTGAATATTATATTGTTATTTCACTACTATTCAGTAGTAGTGGAATTCACCCCACATTCTATTTTAAGCATAATGTTATAAATTTTTGAATAATTTTGTATCTTTATAGCTGTTTAGGGTTACATCTCAATTTTCATTCAATAAAGATAAACATCACGCATAAAATAAAGTATTTCTTTTAAATTTTTGAAAGAAAAAGAACTAAACAGGCTTCTTCGAACGACCATTTTCAGTCCGATGGAACATGACCAATACAAGATGTACCAATTCTTACCTACACCCGAAGAAGCAAGAATTCTGAAAGGAAAAGCTTGTACAAGCGAGAAGAAACTACTACACAGATCTCCTCTGATACAAGAAATCGTTTTCGACCAGCACGATTATAGAATGCTATGTATTGGAGTTACGGACGTCGAAGAGTATGTATCTGTTTGCTTTTATAAAACTTATTTACTAGTTTTTAGTATATGTAGGTATACTAAAGGTCGGCTAGGTGTCTTCATATAACAGGTTTAATTGAAATGTGATTGAAATCATTGACTAAAATTTGTATACAGGATGAATTACAAAACAAAATTACGATTTTCTCAATTTTTTTAAATGAATCACCAAGTATTTTATTTTTAGAAATATTGTATTTATGATACTCTTTCATTTTTATATAAAATTTCCTATATCTAACTCATTATTTTTCGAGATATTTTTAGTTTTCTTCAAATTTCGAGAATACATTCAATTTTTGTAAGTAGAAATAAGTATTGAGTATTGACCGTTCATAGCGACGTCGCTTTTTGATCCTTCGATGTCGGCTCTTCCTATCATTGCGAAACAGAAATCGCCAAGCGTTGGATTGTTCACCCATAGACAGGGAACGTGAGCTGGGTTTAGACCGTCGTGAGACAGGTTAGTTTTACCCTAATGATGACTCGTTGTTGCGATAGTAATTCTGCTCAGTACGAGAGGAACCGCAGGTTCGGACATTTGGTTGACGCACTTACTCGAGCAGGTAATGGTGTGAATCTACCATCCGTGGGATTATGCCTGAACGCCTCTAAGGCCGTATCCTTTCTAGTCAAAGGTGGCAACCATGATATAAGGATACCAGATATGATATTGCCACGCACTAAACTAGTACACTCACGCGTATGACGTCACCTTGTGCTAAATTTTCAAAATGTATTCATGCTTGCGGATGAAACAAACTGTTGAAATTCTAATATAATTTACTAGATGTTTTATTTACTACGTGAATTTAAGCTTAAGTATTTAAATTAGTATATTGTAAAAAATAACAATTTTCCCATAAGAGTGAAGTTTGACGGAGGGAGCCATGGCCGAATGCCACAAATTGCAAACTATGGAATGTGATTTTCATACAATATATATTTTATATATAGTATAGTTAGGTATTATTGACTGACACGTTACGTAAACTATTTCTTTTGAGGTTGCAGTCATTAATAGGACAGAATAAGTAAAACTCTTTGTTCTTTTATTTAGCTTTCACAAAAATTTATTAGCTTCTTCAGGATATGCTAAAATATGGTTAACATTATTTAATCTCCTACCTACATATATCAATATATGTATACATATATATACATATATATATATATATATATATATATATATATATATATATATATATATAATATATATATAATATAAATATTTTTCTTTGGAGGTTGCAGTCATTAATAGGGCAGAAGTAAAACTCTTTGTTCTTTTATTTAGCTTTTACAAAATTTATTCGCTTCTTCAGGATATGCTAAAATATGGTTATAATTATTTAATCTCCCAACTATATATATATATATATATATATATATATATATATATATTAATAAAGTATTCAACTAGTGGTTCAGTGGATGTGGGTTCGAGCCCCAGCTCGGTGTACTGAAAACAAAAAGTCTAACTCAGCAGTTTAAAATTCTAGATGAATCTGCGGCTTAGACTGGATATGCTGGGATCTGATCGGCCTATGGTGGAGCAGTACGGCAAGAGATAAGGGCTTGCGGCTTGGTGATACTCCTCCATAGATCCCTACCGGACGGGCGTAACGCCTAAAAAAACCGGATATATATATATATATATATATATATATATATATATATATATATATAATATATATATTCAACTAGTGAATTCAGAGGTTAATCGGTCGTTCAGGTTGGCAAAATAAAAAACAGAAGTCAACTACTTCATAAGTTTATTATAGAAGACATTTCGCTTTATACTTCTAAACTCAATATGTTCTAACTCAATATGTAGTATTAAAGATGTTATTATATATGTACTTAAGTTTACTCATTATTTAGAAATAACTTAAAAAAAAAACAGAAACAAAGGACACAAAAACTTTGCAAAAAATAATATCATTCGCAGAAACGAAGATTTAACAAAATTTTAAACGTACATTTGGCTTCATTCAGAGATGGTTCTCCAATGAAGACAAACAAAACACTCACCAGTGTTCTGTGAATATTATTTATTATCTTCGTTTCTGCGAATATTATTTTTTGCAAAGTTTTTGTGTCCTTTGTTTCTGTTTTTTTAAGTTAGTTCTAAATAATGAGTAAACTTAAATACATATATAATAAAATCTTTAATACTACATATTGAGTTAGAACTGATGAAGCTTTAGAAGTATAAAGCGAAACGTCTTTATAAACTTATAAAGTAGTTGACTTCTGTTTTATATTTTGCCAACCTGAATGACCGATTCATCACTTCAATCACTTACAACAAAGTGCTTAGAGCAAACACGAGCAAATTTAACATTAAAATTATCCTGGCGTTTACACAAATGTTTCCAAACAGCTTGCATTTCCTTGTCTTTTGGAAAGCTATAAAATGCTGTACCGGGTACAAAACTCTTGCACATATTGTCAACGGCACAACCATACACTGCACACCTCATATCGGGAAAAATTTAAAGCCTTGTAACACTTTTAAAATGTTATTTTATTAAATATTGGCTATGAACCGTAAATGTACATAAACGTCAAAATTTAGCACAAGTTGACGTCACAAAAGTCATGCATAAGCCACGCCCACATGCGCGGTATCTTTATCTGTTTGTATTTGTATCATGGGTGGCAACGATATCGCTTGGAGTTCCGAGAGTTGAAAGGCTCAAAACAATGTGACTTTACTAGGCAATCGTAGTTTCCTACAATTGTCGCACGAGCGCTTATTTCTATTGAGATTATCGGTTTACGGTGGGATCAATCCTTGCGAGTAGACCAGATCTTTAGACGGACGAACATGGGTATTTAATCTTTTCGATGTTGGAACTCGGAATTGTCTGTAGACGACTTACGTACCTGGCAGGGTATTGTACCTGGTAGAGCAGTTTCCACGCTGCGATCTATTGAGACTCAGCCATCAGCTTGGGGATTCGTCTTGTCGGTTAAACGAGACCCATAAAGAAAGCCGTTTTGCAAACGTAGTGGAAAATATCCGCGAATTTTATTTCTCTGCTTTCATTTTTCAGCCGTAGCGAACGCCTCGATTATCTAAGAATGGCATACACTGTACCGGAAGAACTACTCGAAGAATTGGAAGTTGGTGTTGGCATTTTAGGCGTTCCAAAGAAATTCTTGGATCCTGTTTTAAATGAAGAATTAATGACGACAAGGAAACGTAGTTCTGTCATGAAACCCGTTCCTGACTTCGTTATGCCTCCCCAAACGCCGTATGAGTAAGTTTATTTTAATCGCTTAAAGTATTTTTAAAACACGGATTCAATTGTTGTACAAACCTTTTTGCTTGCTTCAATCCTTGCATAGTAAGCCAATGTGACGGTTATCTGTTAATAACTCATAGAATAGTCATATATCCGTTGATTATAATACAATATTATGTGTTATTCTGAAGCCATTTTTCTCCAGTAGGTATTTGTTTTTGTCCAGTATTTGTATTTTTTTGCCGGTAAGTTTTTGCGAGTTATTCAAACATGCCACTGCAATAACATTAGAATTGCTTTGTAAAATGTTTAACAAGTGCCTACAAGGAGAAAGTATCCCAAGAGATTGGAAAGTCTCGTACATAAACTCCATCTACAAAAAGGGAAACAGGAATGACTGCAGTAATTACCGAGGTATCAGCATTACGTCATCCACTGGCAAACTGTATGAAAGAGTTCTGAAAGCCAGAATAGAAAAAGAAGCCACAGAGATCGAAGAACAAAGTGGATTCCGACCAGGGAGATCTTGTGTCGACAATGTATTTACTCTCAAACACCTAACGGAAAAGAGATTAGCAAGAGGACTAGAACTTTTATAGATCTCCGTAAAGCGTTTGACTCCGTACCACTGCAGAGACTATGGACAACATTGGAAAACGCAGGTATAAATGCAGTATATATAAATGCCGTGAAAAATCTATATCAAGATAACCAAGCTTATATTAAGGTTGGAAACCAAATTTCCAAGGGTTTCACCCAAACAAAGGGTGTCAAACAGGGCTCTTACCTCTCTCCAACCCTGTTTAAAATATATCTTGGTAATGCCTTAAAACATTGGATGAGAAAATGCAGCCCAATGGGCATATGGGTAAATGACACTCCTATATACACAATCCTCTTCGCAGACGACCAGGTAGTTCTTGCCGAGGACCTACAAGATATGACGTACATGATAAACAAACTAATAGACGAATTCAAAAAATGGGGATTAGAGGTTAATACCGAAAAGACACAATACATGAATATAGGAGGCATCGGTCAAGACATAGAAACAGAAAGCGGATTAATTAAAAACGTTGATCAGTACGAATATCTCGGAGTTACACTAAGCGAAGACGGGAGAGACGACAAAGATATAACAAGAAAAATAGGAAAAGGAAAAAACATGATAAAAACACTACATCCGATCCTGTGGAATAAAACTTTAACTAAGAAAACAAAGAAAAATATATATCAGGCTATGATTCAGCCGGTGCTGACGTATGGGTCAGAAGTGTGGGTCTTTAACAATAATATGTCACAAAAACTCCTCTCAACGGAAATGATGTACTGGAGAAGATGTTCCGGGTTAACTTTGTTTGACCACATAAGAAATGAAAACATAAGAGAGAGAATGAAAGTAAAGAACACAATAATGGATACGATAGCCGAAAAACAATTAAAATGGTATGGACACCTGAGACGGATGAACGAAGAAAGGATACCACGAAAGGTTTGGAACTGGAGACCTACACATAGAAGTTTTTGTGTCGTAATACGTTAAAAGCTTTTTGATAGTCAACAAAACACACTTTTCTTGCATGTAACTTGCATGTAAAATACACTACCAGTAAGAAGAGCATTCATGTAAGCAGCATAATTTGCAGCTTTAAATTTTTTCTTCAAAAATATTGCAAAATTAACATTTCAAGCCAATCAAAGTTAAGAAGGAATAACATAATTTCTTTAAAAAAAAAAAGAGAGAGAGAGGTTAGTCTTCGTAAGTGGGTATATTTATTTAAAAACCCTTAAAAGGGCTACATCAAAAAAACAAACGTTTTCGGACTAAACAATCCATCATCAGGTTTAAAATCGCCTAAAATAAGTATAAACCATTTAGTTAAAACAAACGTGGTTATAAAATTTTGACTATGGTTAAAAAGCAAAAAATAGCTATACTTACTAGGTTAAAATGCCAGAGCCACCAAAAATACCCACTTTTTTTTAATAAATATACCCACTTACGAAGACTAACCTCTTTTTTTGTGATACATGGTATACAGCCAGCTACAGGAATTGTTTTCCTTGTGGATTTTATAAATTCTTTGCATTCTACGGTGACTTGAAAACTCAAAGAAGTAAACAATAATTAATTTTACCTATGCATGGATGAAACGACTGATTCTGCTGGGTGTTACATAGCTTTTTTATTGATTGGAATTCTTAACCAGCAGTTCTGCTCAAAGGCACATTTAATTGCTTGCAAACAGATGCAAGAAATACTTTAACAGTTCGTACAAGAAGAATTAGACTTCTTTCTACCAGATCTCATTCTTTGTAACAAGTTCTTGCTAGAACTTGGATCTAATATAAAAAAAGTTTTTCTCAAATCACCTTAAACAATTCAGCTCATATCTGGCTTGATTATCTCTCTCATTATATTATCTTTCTCATTATATGTCCCAAGTTCCTCAGCTTACGGCCTTTCACGATGTTGAGCAAATCCACAGTTCTGTTCATCGGTTCATCCTCCGCAGTATTTCTTCATTAGTGACTTTGTCTAGCCATGGTATCTTCTTGATCCTTCTGTATAATCATTGCTCAAAAGCCTGAAGTTTTAATGGAGTTTCCGCTTTCAATGTCCACGTTTCTACTACTTACAGAAGAACAGAGTACACGTAACATTTAAGGAGCCTTAACACAGAGCTCATAGACAAGAATGCACTTTTTGCCTTTCCGATGCGACATTTATTCTCTTGGGTATTGTCCACGAGTCATTGATCACAGTTTCCAAGTAGTTGTATTCAAGACACTGTTCAATTCTCATTTGGTTCACATACATATTTGATCCAGATATGTTTTCCTTGCTTATGATCATTAACTTGGTTTTGATGGTGTTTATATCCAGTCCATATGTTCTAATTATTTCCGTTATTTGTTCATTAAGTTTTGCAGCCCTCCATGGTATTGGAAAACACTATTGTATCATCTGCATACCGCAGGTTATTGAACTTGACTCCATTTATTGAGATGCCTTTATCAATATCTTTTAGAGCCTCTTTAAAAATGTGCTCCTAGTACAAATTGAATATCAGTGGTGATATTATGTTCCCCTGTCTCACTCCCCTTAAGATTTTGACCTGATCTGTATATTCTGAGCACCACTGATTGATTCCAATACAGGTTAGCTATTATTTTTAGGTCCCTTCCGTCAATCCCTGTCCTCTTCAGCACTTTCATCATTGTTCATGCCTGGCTCTATCGAAAGCCTTTTCTTGTAGTCAATCAGGCATGCAAAAACATCATAGCTGACATCTCTACATTTCTGAAACAATACCTGCACGCTAAATAAAGCTTTCTTCGTATTAACTGCGTTCACAAATCCAAACTGATTGGAGGCAATTTGTTCCTCGTATTTCCTGTAAATTTTTTTGTGCATGACTTTTAAAAACAGCTTCAGCAGTAGCTCATTAAGCTTATGCTCCTATAGTCTTCACAAACTTTAGCTCCTGTTTTTTGGACAATGGTACGAATTACGATTTGAGCCACTTTACTGGTATTTTTTCTGTCTTGCACATTTCATTAAATATTTTAGTTATTATGTTTATTTGTTCTGCATCTAATAGCTTCAGCAGTTCTGCAGGAATTTCATCAAGTCCCGGTGCTTCTCCATCCTTCATTTGTCTGACGGCTGTCATTATCTGGTATTACCTTTCTTCTGGTAGGATTTCGAAACCTGAATCTTCTTCAATGGTGGGTTCTTGTATTGTTCTAAGGTCCTGGAAAAGTTTCTCCAAGTATTTTTCCCACACTTTCTTTTAATCTTCTTTGGCTATGGCAAGATTGCCTTCATCATCTGTTACTTTTCCGTTGTTGAGTTTTCAAAACTTTCCAGCTATTTCCTTCACCTGTCGATGGACACTGAAGTTATCATATCGACTCTCATCATACTATGACTAAGAAGGTAAGATATTGCGCATAAGTCGTGACGTCATTGGAGAGTTGCACGTTCGAAATGTCAGTTTTTTGTATGTATCAATAAATAATCTTGAATAAATAGTTTGGAGATATCCTTATGTGTACGATTAATGTAATTATTAAACCTCTTAACTTATTTTCGTCTAGTAATTTCGGCACAGAATGCATACAAACCCCATTTAACTTTAACAAGAATTCAAAATCTACTCTCCAATGACGGTATGCGCGAACTCGACCGATTTTGTGCTACGGGAAGATCCTATCTTGTTAGTCATAGTATCATGTCGACTCTGATACTCCCCTATTTCTTGACATTGTTCTTATATTCATTCTTCTTATATTCTCTGATCCATAAGTTCAAGTATTTCATCGGTCATCCACGATTTCCGTTTCTCTGTATCTTTCTTCAGGTGTTGTTCTTTTATTTCCCTCACCTATTATTTATAATCATGTCTCTCAAATTAATTTATTATATTGTTTTAGTTATTCGAAATTGTCTGAAACTTTGCCGAAGATAAAATGTAAATATCGAGAATCTCCAGTCGCTACTAAAGCTAGAAAAACACAATGTAAATTGTGGCGACATTACGTAAAAGATATGCCGTCGGAAATGGATCAAATACCATCAACTATGCTCCCATATATAACCTCGTCAAAAATTTATGAAACAAGTTAATAAAATATCATACTGGGTCTACTCTAATTTTTGTGTTTAGAAACGTTGATTTCCTGTATATACATTTGAAATTAATAAACCATCAATATAATACAATAATTAAATAATTTCTTTTAATTACGTTTGATAAACTGTAAGTAAAATAATTTGTTATGAGTTAAGAATTAATTTAGGAGTTTTGTTTCCTGGACGCTAGACTGTAGAGTGCAGATCGATTGCAGTGTCATGGCGGATATAACTGGTATAAACCAACATAACAGTCTAATGTTTATCATTGATTTTCCATGTTTAGTTTGGTTTAAGACGAGTTATTTATATCATTTAAAATTGGAAATTAGCCTTAATAATATCTTTGAAAAGAGGGAATAAGAATTGGTGGAGAAATCATAAACACCATGAGATTTGCAGATGACACGGTAATTATGGCTGAGAGTATAGAAGATCTACAAACTTTACTAGATGCAATAAATAGTGAATGCATTCAAATGGGACTTGACATCAACACAGATAAGACCAAATTTATGATAGTCAAGGAGTCCAATAAATAATGAACAACTAACTCTTGGTGGACAGCAAATAGAGAGAGTGACAAAACATAAATATCTGGGAGCTTACATCAACACAGAATTAGATCCAGACCAAAAGATCCGGGTACGAATAGAAATGGCAAGGGCAGCGTTCTTAAAATTCAAACAATTGTTCTGTGACAAAAATCTGAATATTGCGCTGAGACTGAGGTTTGTTGAATGTTACGTCTGGTCGCAACTATTGTACGGGGTAGAAACATGGACACTAAAAGCGCAAATAGTTAAAAAGATTGAAGCCTTTGAACTTTGGATATACCGGAGAATGTTGAGAATCCCATGGACTGCCAGGGTCACCAATGAGGAAGTGCTGAGAAGAATGGGTCGAATCAAAAAATTGTTGAGAACGATAAAAGTACGCAAGACTGCATACCTTGGACACATACTAAGAAATAATAAATATAGTCTTCTGCAGGTCATCATGCAGGGTAGAGTCGACGGCAAAAAGGGAATAGGTAGAAAGAGGAAGTCATGGCTGCGAAATATTCGAGACTGGACAAACATGACTGTAGACGAATTATTCCACGTTGCAAAAGACAGAGAAGCTTTTAAAAATGTGGTCGCCAACCTCCGTTAATGGGGACGGCATAGGAAGAAGAAGAATATCTTGGGTATTGTGGTGAAGCAAAGAGTCTATTGGTTGCAGTGGCGTGTCGTGACATTTGAATTAAGGGATGCAAATTAAAGGAAATTATAAAAAGACTTACTAACCTTTTTACTTGTAGTGCAGCTCTATTATTCTGTCATCCTTGGCAAATTCGTTTATGACAGACTCATAAAAACTGGGATTTTCAGACATTTCTTTAATAAGTTCTTTTTCAGTTGATAAAATCGCTAAGTTAGCTAGCCTCTCCTCACTTGTGGAATTTCTGACAACGTTTTTAATCCGCTTTAGTACAGAAAAACTTCGTTCTACAGACGCACTTGTAGCAGGTATTGTCATCACTAAGTCACATAATTTTGAATCCTCCCTATATGCTTTATCCAGTTCAGTTTGTTTAAGAAATGTCAGCATTTTAGAACTAGTATCAGTTTGTACAGAGTGTTGAGAAGCATACAAAACGCACAGTTGGGAATGCAGGGAAAGAATGTCAAAAAAGTTTGCATAATTTATTGAAGTTGCATAACTCCACAAATCTTAACTCACAAAGGTTTTTAAATCATTCTTTAAGCTGCTGGGAAATATTATCTATTATTTCATAAAAAAGTCGATTATAAGATATTTTTGTGTCGCCTACATCGTCAATTCTAATACGTTTTCTCTTGGATTCCATCTCTTCGAGATCGCAAGTTTTTTGCCACATGATATCAAATTGCTCCCTCTGTCTGTTGATTTTAACTTCGAATTCGTTAATTTTTTTAATACAAAATCCAATATCATTCAATTTAGTCTGCAATACATCAAATAAAATGTCTGTATTAGGAAATATTTCAGAAAATACTTGAAGCAAAAAATTAAAATCAAAATCTGGTTTTACTCATTCCAAATAACCTCTTGAGGAATTCACAGTTTCAGGGTCCCAACGGTCTTTATGCTCCAAAATGCCTTCAAATAACTCTATTAGGGATTGCCGATATTGGGAACTGTTTTTACTAACCTAACATTGTAGTTCCATCTGGTGGGAGCTGCTCGAGGGAACCTTTTCTGAAGAATGACATCTAAAGCATGTGTCCTTTTGGATTTAGAAAAAAAAGCAGCCATTCCGCTCAAGGTTTGGAAAAATATTTTGCAAGTCTTATTGAGTGCGACTGATTGCGCTAGAACTAAATTTAGCCTGTGTGCAAAGCAGTGCACAAAAATTGCATTTTGAAACCTCTCCTTAATTTTGGTTTGAAGTCCTCCCAGGTACCCAGCCATTACGGCAGCTCTATGATAACTTTGAGCGACAAGTTTGGAACCACAGTCTAGTTTCTCAACTATATTACAAACATGTAATATAGTTGAGGATCGACCTTCTGCCGATATATTTGCAGTTATATCCAAAAATCCCCAAAATCGTTCTTGTATTTCACCATTATTTTTAATGTAACGCAGAACAACCGACAATTGACTCAAATTGACGAGATCTGTAGTTTCATCTAGAACAATGGAAATAAATTGTGCTTCTTTTATTTCTTCTTTGATTTTTTGCAGAACAATCTCTGCCATAGACTTGATCAAATCGTTTTGTATCCTATTTGAGGTACCTCGAAATACACTAGATTGATCTAAATGACTTTTTAGTAGTTCGTCATATTCAGATAAAAAATTTGCTAAATTTACAAAATTTCCCCTATTTACAGATTCATAATTTTCATTATACCCTCGGAAACTAAGTTCATGTTCTCCAAGGAAACATGTAATGTGAATCAGTCTCTTTATTATTTCTCGATTTTTTTACTTGCTCATTATGCATGCGGTGACTAACTTTAAGCTCATTATCTAGATCGTAATCAACTCGTGTTTTCCCAGAAGTCTTTTCTTTTATAACTGCTTCTAAATGCGTTTTACTTAAAATGTGTCGTTTTATAGATTTGTCCAAATTATTATTTAAATACGAGTAACCCGTACTATTCCACAAGTTTTTTTCACTTATATTAAATAATTCCGAGAGTCGACGTGTGCTGAAGCGATGCTAGCGCGAGCAGAATGCCAGAATGGTATTGCCATAGGGTATTGCTTTCAGAAAATGCATCCAAAGATATTACAGTCACCGTGCGCTGTTGCCAGTAATTGTCATTCGTAAAGTAATTTAATGATTTCTTGAAAAATTTTATCTTTAAATATTTGAATTATTACAAATCAATTTGAAATATGATTATGTAGTTTTAACTACTGATAATAAATTTTAGTTTTTAGAGGATGCAATGCATCCATGCACCGCACGCCCATGATTGGTTGAAAGGGAAGCAGTTTTCAAGTGATGAATTCCTAAATTTTAACTTTAATGTTTTGAACTGGTTTGTGTATTGATGATGATAAATCCTATTTTGTGTATACCTGGGAACCCAGAATATAATATTCTGTGTAATGTTTGTCTTAACTAATATATGCATTATTTTATATTATGTCTTATGTTTTTAATATGTTAATTTTTATTTTATACTATTTTTTTACATATGTAAGTACTTTATTGTATATTAACATAAGTAAATAACTTTAACTTGACTTTATTGTAAGATAGTTCATTTGATTACATGAAATCAATCTTAACTTGAGATCACCTGTCAGAAAATATCATAGCACATGATTTGTCTTTAAAAGATTCCATAATAAATTATTTTTTTCTTCAATTTTTTCAGTTTAGGAAAGAGAAATAGGGACATATCTTTTGTCATCTTGAATTGCATGGAGAACCAGAACAATATCGATTTAATTTAAAATTCTTTAACGTAGTCATAATGCTGAAATTTACTAAAAAAATTAATAATTCTATTCAAATCAACAGCTGTCTGGTTTGTTTATACCACTTTTAGTAGTTTAAATTTATTCCGCCAGAGGTCAGATACTTTGTTTTTAATCGCAAATAAAGCATAGAGAAATAAAATTTCTCTATGGAATAAAGAAACAAAGTTTAAAAAATCTTATTCGCTCCATACGTAACCATGGTAGGAGTACCTTGAAACGATGACAGCGTGCCTAGCGGAGAAATATGACAAAATTGGACATATCTTTTTACGCATAAATTTTATCAACAAGGGATGCAAATACATGTTGCATATTTAATTGTGCAAATAGTAGCAAAAATAGTGAGTGTAGTTTTTATATGTTTCCAAAGACTACATATAAATTAGAGATGAGAAGCATAAATTAATCACATAGCCTCATTTTTATGCAATTGTAAGAGGGATATATATCTAAAGGTCGATTCAGACACATCAGTAACGTCCCGTCACAGTGATTGCGCCGAACCGAACAATCCGTGATACAAAATATTCTTTAATACAAATATGTTGCCGGCATTCACACTCATCAGTTGAGAAACAGTTTCCCAGCTGTCAGATAGTTGATCAGATAGTTCTGTGACCAAACAGGACCGGTTCGGCGCCGAGACTATGACGGGACTGATGTGTCTGAATCGACCTTTACAGGTGTTTTTTATTTTTTAGCACTGACGGCTCAGATTGGACTCCAAAATCTTATCGAATTTGCATTGCTCTGTTTCATAATGCTTCGAACTAACTGCAACCTGCCTAACTGTTACTATTATTGTTTTTAATTACATGTTATTCCACATGACAAACGTGATTTGCCAGTACGTACTAGATTTTTCCCTTTCTTTTCCGTTTGGGGTTGAAAAGATAAATTATGTTGAATTTTTAGAAACCCAATTTTTAATATTACATACATTTCATACATAAACTGGAAAATATAATTAAAAAACTAATTATTACTAATTTTCAATTTCGTATGTATTTATCATTATGTTTAACTTTTGTTAGGAGTGCAAAATTGTCAGATGAAGGCAGTAGGTGTCGTGTCAGTCATGCACGGAGCGAATACAGGTTTTTGAAAGTTCTAAAAGGTATATGAGGGATAGATGATGGCAAATCCTTGATAAGTACAGCTGATTTTATTTTGTTTTCTTAAACAATCATAACAAGTGAAACAAAATCATTTTTTGACTATAAAACGTTTCTCATAAGGTTATGTGCTTTAATATTAAGGCCTTCCTTTACCTTTGAGCATTCCGCCACTTTGTACAGGACTTGCTGTAACATAGAGGCAAGTCTATTTATTTATTAAATAAAATAATTAAATTTCTGTGTTGTGCTTTAATCTTCCTTTTGATCGTTCTTGATACCATTGATGGTATTAGGGATTAACCGAACTACCTCTGAAAAGAGTTAACCAAGGTAGGGATCTCCATAATTGTCTTTGATGTGATAATAGAGGAGAACTAAATAAAGTTGACCTCCTCACGATCCCAAGTCAATCGTGGATTTCGAAATGGTACAACCCACATGGTTAGTACCTTACAAAATTATCTAAAACTTATAAAACATGTAATAAAAGAATATGTTATATTATAAACAATATATTACTTAAAATGTACATTATTTTCTTCAGCTAAACGAATATTTTTTTCAATATATTCTATTAATGCGTCTTCAGTTAAAAACAGTTGAGTGTCATTGTCGATGTCATTTAGTTCAAATAGTGGAGGATTTTCTGTAGATTTTTTCCCAATCACTACAATAAAACGATAGCCGATGCGTTTTGCATCTAAATGCCTTCTTCCTATAGTCAAAGATGTTCTATCGTCTAGAAGAACGTTGTCTTTTAGCGAAGGAATTCTTTGTTCTAATTTTTTATACAAATTAATATAACTCTTTTCTGTGTGGGATTCTTCCTTGCTTCCTGCCTAAAAATTAAATATATGTAGTAACTTAAAAAGTATGTATAATTCTCAATATATTTATGGAGTACAAATTCTAGTTAGATTATTGACATCGACATGCATATGTATTAAGTATATAGGTACACTGACGAAGATATTTTGCATTTTATCGAATTATCAAGCCTCTATTCGCTATGCGCACGATGGAAGAGACATCTTATGGTTAGTCTGCGAAGGTGAATTGCAAGACAGTTGAAAAAATATTTCAAGTTGCACTTAATTAATTATTGGAACGTTGGAATCTAAAGAAAGTTATTTCCGGTAGATTTTCTGGCGGAATTGGACAAGACTATAGGCTGGATACCCCCTACCATCAGAAATTACAAAAGATTCGTTGGAGCCGTAATAAGCATGGCCAAAAATCATATACCATGAGATCACCGAAAAGAATACATTCCTAGTTGGTTCCATAACAGCGAAGAACTGTATACCAAAATTTCCTTGAAAGCGGCGATCAACAATTAGCCGATGAACTGCTCCATAGCCTAGATGTAGCGAGACAACAAAAATGGACGGAAACTACAGAAAGTCTTAATTTTTAAACATTAAGTAGGCAAGCATGAACACTACTAAGAAAATTAGGAAGTGGAACTGCCATAACAGGGAACAAAACAACAATTAACCCAAACACTATTGCCTCACATCTGATATCAACATCTATGGCTCAGAAAGACAAGCCACACACAATCAAGGTAAAACGAGAGCTCAAAACTTTAAAATTCCAATCTGCAAAAACTGAATACTCTCGCCCTTTCACTTGCAAAGAAGTCACTATAGCTCTCAAAGATGTAAAGCCCTAGGTTTTGACAATATTCATCCCGAATTCTTAATTAACAGCGGTAAATATGCGAAAGAAGGATGGCTCACTTTTTCACAGATATTATGAAGAGCGGTACCATACCACAGGAACTCAAACGCTTGAAGATCATTGCCATATTAAAACCAGGGAAACCAAATGATAACAACCCTAAGAACTACAGACCAATAGCCCTACTATCGCAACGTTCAAGAACATCGGTGTAAGTCATTTGAACAAACAGAAGAAATCCTCACGGCAGAGTTACACACAGTGGGACAGTATTTCCGTAAATGGAGGCTCCAACCAAACGCTACCAAAACAGAGGTTTCCAGTTTTCATCTAAATAACAAGCTTGCAGGAAGAACACTCAACATCCAATTCTAAAACACCACACTCGCCTACAATAAAACACCAAAGAGCTTTGGGGCGACCCTTGACAGAACCCTATCTTTCAAGAAACATCTGTCAAAAACAGCGGAAAAACTTAAATCCAGAAACAACATTCTTCAAAAGCTGTGCGGCACAACCTGGGGAGCATTGGCTTCCACCTTGCGATCATCTGAACTGGACCTTGTCTTCTCAACCGCGAAATACTGCTCTTCAGCCTGGCTTACATATACACAAAATAGATGCCCAATTGAACAATACAATGAGAATGTATTGGCTACACCAACGTCACAGGGTTTAAATAAGTTCGGACTTAAGACCCACCTCGGGTTGTACTGCTACGAGAAGAAATATTAATTTATTGATATACCTTTTCAAAACTAGTTAAGGGGGTATGTTCAGGCCGCAGTTAAAATGCGTTGCATTCAAATAAACTAACGGTTAACAATTCTTTGAGTAGGTGGTAGCATGTACATCATTTTCTAATACATATTTTAATTTTCCCCAAATTTAATTCTCTGAACAGCGACACTGTTGCTAGCGATGCCAAGTACTGCAACTAACGGTCGGTGCAGTTCGCTCTCAATCAGCAGTATTATTCAATGTAAGTTGATATTACTTATTAGTTGAAGTTTCACAAATTCTAATTTTCGAATTGGATGATTGGATCATTCGATATAATTTTTTTATCATATTGTTTATTAAAACTTACTTTGGGAGGTATGATGACTACATTATATGGAGCCAATACGTCCGGCCACCTAATTTCTGTTTCTGATGACAATACTTCTATAGATGCAGCTAATAGCCTACTTATTCCAATACCATAACTTCCCATTTGTAATACTTCAGGTTTACCATCTTTTCCAATACACTTGGAATTTAGACATTTTGAATACTTGTCTCCTAGAAAAAAGGTGTGTCCTACCTAAAAAGGATAAACGACATTTATGTTTTTAATATATTGCTTTAAAAATATAACAAAATTTGAAATTTCTAGCATATGTATATACAGTAAGTTTTAGATTGGATATTGCAAACTACATAGCGCTAAAATCGGCAACGTTGCCTCGTATGAGGTAAATTGTCCGATCTCCTCCAACACCTAGAAAACCATTTGGTAACACATAACAACGCATGGATATGCATCTCCGTCCGTCGATTTTTGTTTTTCTTATGTATACCCGGTTCATTTCTTATAACATAAACTCGAAAAAAAAAAACATTGACCTTTATAATTTATAAGGCTGTGCATTTGTATCGGTTTTTAATAATGTTACCTCTATTCCACATTGAACAGTAACATCTGTCTTTCGACAATTTGGGCAGGTTTGATCTCCACATAATTCAGTATTTGCTACATAGTTACAAGAATTACAATGCAATATATTGTCTTCCCCTATAGATGCCTGATACTGATATTCGTGAGACAGCGATCCTCCCATAGTTCCCGAACTTCCCAAAACTGAAATAAAAAACAAGGTTTCATTATATGCCAGTAAAGAAAAAAGCTAAAAAAATCTTATACAGGTTTTTGAAGGTTCTGAAAGGTATTTAGTGGACAGCTGGTGATAAATCTTTGAAAATGTACAACTGATTTTGCTTTGTTTTTTTTAAACAATCATATAAAAAGTATTAAAATAAAATTTTTGTTCAAAAATTAATTACTATCAATTAAATTAAAAATATTTGAGGCCACTTTTTAATTGACTTTACAAACATAGTGTTACTGCAGTGAGATCCTGTACTATAACTTCGTTATTAATTAATATATTTTGATTAAATTTGTGTCAAAGCTATTTAAAGCAAATCTAAATCCAGTGATATAGATATACATATATTAAAAGATTTACAATGTTTTTCATGTGTTATCCCAAATAATATCTCCTTTTTTTAGAGAAGGTTGAAAAATGTTTTCCAAACCTCCTTACTTTTGGAAGTTAATTGTAAGCTAATTCAAAATTTATTGTCCATAGAAAAAGACATTATATTCAACATACTGAAAAAAGTAACATTTTTATATCTACAATAGAATTAAAGTAATGTAAAAATAAAAATCACTTACCTTTAACATATTTTACCCCAAGACTATTGAAAATATTATCATAACTCTTACAAACATCTTCGTAAGTCTTCTTTGCACTCTCTACATCTACATCAAAACTGTACATATCCTTCATTATGAATTCCCTGCCTCGCATAAGCCCAAATCTAGGTTTAATTTCATCCCTAAATTTATTCGATATTTGATACAATCTTAACGGGAATTTTTTGTAAGAAATTGGGGCCAACATTGACACCAACTCACCAGCCACTTCTTCGTGAGTCTAAAGAATTAAAATAATTATGTTTGTTTAACAATATTTACAAGATTTACCTACGGGACTTAAAATGTAGAGATGCTCATGACGATCTTTTAATTGAAACAGCTCTGGACCGACTTCTTTTAATCTTCCTTAAACAAAATCAATTATATTTATATGTACTACAATTATAGTTTGTTCATATTCAAGAAACCTTGATGTAAACAGTGTCTGATACCTTGGTGTGAACAGCAGGTGTAGAACCAACTTCTTGGATTTGTAATGTTCATTTTATTTTCTTATTGATACTGTTATTACAAGAGTTGTTATATGGACATTTTAAAATGACAATATTTTATTGTAATTAAGTATTAAACTGAAAAAAAGTAGATCACAACATTTCCTGTTCTTGACACTTTTATGTCTGATAAGGTTTCTGCAAGTGCAAATGAATGTTTTGATATTGCTTTGAGTCCTTTGAGAAAAAGAACAAAAAATATTTATAATATGTCAGATTTAAACAATTGTAAATGTGTATAAGAATGAAACAAAAGAATATCCAACGAAAATATAACAAGAGATAAAAAATAGTAGGACATAATGTTAGTGTTTGTGCTAGCAGCGTATTTAAAGTAATAAAGGAGTATAAAACTACTACCTCTCTAAATAAACCAACAACACATCAACACTACAAGAGCAAACTGGGTTATGTTGACAATTTTACCAGTGGTATCATAAGTGGTGCATCATTCTTTTTCAGAAGTGACTCCTGGGCCATTCAATCCATCTATTCCTCACCCCTTCCACCATTGACAGTTATTAACAAAGATTATTTATTAAAGATTTTTTTTAAATTTCAAATATACTTCCTCAATATACCAATATATGTCATGGTTCGTTTTGAATCAATTGGTTAGTGAATTATTTTAGAACATACGCAAGCACCTATTTTTAGTTAAACAAAATGTTTACCACTTTTCTGCCATAGTTGACTGTTTGTAAGGGTAGGAAATACCAACTTTTGTCCACCAATTTTAAACATTTCATCATCTATGATTTTGATTAACTTCTCCATTGATTTGAGCCCTAATGGAAGTAAATGGAAGCATCCCGGAACAGACTGCTGAATAATCCCTAATTCCAGCATTAACTGTAAGATAAATATATTCAAATTATATTTAAAACAATACTTTTAACATTTTTGTTTATTAAGAAACAAAAATTCAAACTTTCGCACCACTGAACATTGTTTTATTTTATTATAAGTATATAGTACATTTCACCAATTTGTGACTGACTATTTTGGATTAGGAATGAAAGTTTTACCTAAACAATTGTAATTCTGGCTGGAAAGAATCATTTCATTTTTTAAGCATTCTTTTATTTTATGTACTGTCCAGAAATTTGTTGGTTGCTTATTTCTGAATGGTATCCAAACCTATACCAGATAGTTCATGTAAACTTGGGTACAGTTTTTCTTTCAACCATTTAACAAACATCCCTGTATTCATGTTACTATGATATCATTTGGTTTTGACTTTGACAAAAACACAAGATCTATTCCATCAATAAAACCATGTTTTCCTTTTCCAGCTGCATGCAATATAATATGTCTGTTTTCCTCAGTATCAGTGTTTTATGGATTTTATACTCTCGTCCTGCCAAATCTGTTTATTTTTATCTTTATTCTGCATTTAGCAAAATCCATGTTTTGCCTAAACAAACAAATAAAGCAAGTTCATTTTTAAAATCATTACAGATGCTTAAAACTCAATTCTTTTCTGAATAATATTAGCTCTTTCAGACAAGGCTTTTCTATTGTCTTCTATTTTGAACATAAACCTAATGTGCTTGAAAACTCTCCAGAGACTTACCTGGAAATTTTCAAATGGATTTCTGTCTTTTAATATTTTAACAGCATCTATACAGAAACAATGTCTCAAATTTCAAATTTACAACCCTCAGGAAGATCTTTTACCACTCACTTTTTACACTTCTTCTGTTTTTCAAAACTGACTTGAGTTTTGTGTCACTAATACACAATTCATCACACACAGATTTATGTAAGGAATGAACTGATTTCAAAGGGTCTCCATTGGCTTTTTCATTAGTAAACTATGTGTAAAAATTAAATATTAGTTGATTTATGTCTGAAACATGTCTCCCCATTGTCACTTTCAACACACAAACTCTTTCCAATTACAAGTACTACTATGACAAACTTAATAGGGTAATATTCATTTGCAACTGGTTTGAGAGTATTGCTAAAGTAATGTACAGGTTCTCTGAATGGCCAAAAACCCACATAGAGTCTAGGTATTGGGTTTATTGTGATTATATAATTTACCTACATTACATCTCGCAATAAGATCATTTGTGGAAGGACAAATTTTCAGTTAATGACAAATTTTATAGCATAGTACAAAATTCCAACTTGTAAGTTTAATATTAAATTTTGTCTACAGATACCCTATTATTGATTACACATTGACTAGGTATTATGTATATGTTCATTCCTTCAGTATATCTACATGTCTTAAGCAAAAAATAACGATTTTCTTGGGCTAACTTACCCTTTGACTATTGGAGGTAACTTGCTGTCTCGTCAAGTTTGAATTTTTAGAAACTTGAGTAACTGGTTGAAATATTCTGGATAAACAATGTTTTACTGACAAAGACATGTTAAATATTGAATTATTTCTTAAGATTGTTAAAAACTAAGTATGACCTATATTCTACTGTTATGTTAACAAGTAGGGTTAACACTTCTCTCTTCTTCTTCGATTTTTTAGGTTAAATAAACTATAAACCATAGAACAGAACGATTGAGTTTACCGAAAGTACGAGCTGATTATAGCCGCAAATGTCAAACATGAAACAAAATTTCTTTTTAGCAGTGTTGACATGTTTTTATAATGTATATGCTGTTTGCTTCAAATATAAAGAGATAAAGCTTTAAAAAAGTACATTTTAATTATATTATGTTTGTTTCTTTGGAGGTTAATGGTTAGAAATTTTTTTTGGCAATTGCCCTTTGATAGATTAGCAGTCAAATCAGCAGTTGCTAGATTGCAACGGGTGTTTGCAATTGCAATGAATCTCGAAAGAGACAAATATTATTACTCGTTATTGTTTCATATAAATTAAAAATTGCAGACTTTATAAAATAGTATAATCAAAATGTACTCTTTAAAAGCTTTTCTTTTTATATTGGAAGCACACAACAGATGCATTAAAACATTCCAACACTGCCAAACCGAAATATTTTATTTCATGGTTGACATTTGCGGCTATATTCAGCTTGTACTTTCGGTAAACTCAACCCAAAAAAGTTGTTCTCTGTTGTTAAACCACAGAATAAGTTCTATGTCTGAGTTATTATTCCTAATTAAATGTTACCAACCTCGCACCAGTTACACTACTTTAAGGAGTGGTGATTTTCAATGTTAGATTGGATGCACTGAATTTATGAAGTCATATGATTTTGACAGAATATAGTTTACTCTACTCTTGGAAAGTGAAAATCTATTCACGTGAATTATATTACACCCTTCAAATTCACAGCTCATTTAATAAACTAAAAATGGGTGCATCTTTAATTCCTTTCGCAATTTTCACTGTATTATGGGGTGGAGTTGGAGCTGTTCTGCCCATTTTTGTACCTAAAGGACCCAATAGAGGGTAAGAAATATTTTTTGTCTGACAAGTTTCATCTTTTCAAGAATTTTTTTATTTTGTTTTAGAATTATCCAAGTTATTCTTATGCTAACAGGTGTGTCGTGCTGGTTGTTGTA